AAGGTTTTACTGGTTAAAGTGTTGTCAAACTCCAAATACCTGTGGCGTATTCAGTGTGATATAGTCTGATTTGTTTGTATATAAACCCAGGATGTTCGGAGGCTGATATTAGAGTTCTGGACTAAGAGAGATTATTATTTCCAGTAGATCAATAAGAACTTTAGGCTGCTTGTATAGGTTTATGTGTTCTTAGTCTGGTCGTGTAAGTCTGTATCTCTAATTGGCTGTTATATCACGTAACATAATTAATGGGTCATAAGAACATAACAGTATTCATAGTTTTCAGTTGTTACAGATATAATGGTTAGAGAATTTTATTTTACCGAATACTTTTGATTTCAATTATTCATATATTATACTTTGTTCAAAATGATAGATTAATAAATTCTGATAATTAGTACATGTATATGAATAAGTGTGCTGTTATGAATAAACGTTTAGTTACAATGTTTTATTCAATCAAGTTATACATACCTTAAATAAAAATTTATCATCATTATGAATAAGGTAACCATAAGACTTAATTGTATCCTGTTGTTGATATATTGACTGAAATTTTGATCAATCTTAGTTGGTATAAATGTATCTGGTGTAAATCGTCTTAAAATAGTCCTTATGTTACAAGTTCACCGTGTTATAATTAGTTATTGAGCTTAATATAAATAAGATTTTAATCAATATTTTTATGGATTCAATCTTATCCAGCTTCTGCATCTTTCTTCTAATGTTGATTATGAGAAACATTTAAAAAAAACCAAGAAATTATCTCTTAAATAGTTTGTTTAATAAATAGATCTATAGAGCTGATTAAATTTGAAGATACTTGTTAAGATATGGGAGAAGAAAAACTTTGAGCAGTAGAATACTTTATTCTCTTGTAGTCAGTCAGTTACAACGTAGGACCAGACATATATGTGCATCGGTTCAAGTTGCCATACTTCATTAGCACAACAAGATGAACACCATATTCATAGAAGTAATTAATTCAGTGGTAATATAAAAAGGACAAGTTAATGAATTGTAATTAATCAGTTTCAATAGAAAATGAAGCATTCAAGTTTTATCCTGGTAATTATCATTTTTTTAGTATTTATATTGGTCATAAAAACTTTATCAATAAGTTTGTAGTGACCTACTTTTAGCAAGAGAACGCGATTGGTTTAATGGAAACAATTATTATTATAACCAATTGTACCAGTGATTGTTTTAATGCATTTGTTTGTTTAACTGTACTAAAGACATCCATTATTCTCCCATTATCCTTCCGTTGGTTGTGACCTTGCACGAACTTACGTTTGCTCAGTAAATCCGCTTTTACTCCTTTGGTACGATCTTGGTATTCTTTCGATACCACGAGATCACCAACAAATATACTTCGCTAAAACCTTCAATTGCCTTCTGATATTTGGTACGCAACTTTCCTGTAGTGGTGATCATAATCAATTGCGACTCGACGCCACATTACAAGTTTATCACTTTCAACAGTGAAAGTCTATCATTCTGTACAATAATTGTTTTTTTCTTTTGTAATACACATCATATAAATCAGTGAGTACTCGAACTTCAAGATGTTATATGGTCAGATTTCATTTTCATAATGACAGTTATTTTTCACTTCACTTGAGATTATTCATGGATGAAGAAAAAAAGCTATAATTCACAAGAGAAATTTCTAAAACTATGATATCTTTCTAGTCTTTTCTAAAATGATAGAAATTTATTAAAAGATAAATATTTACAACCTAACAGTAATATTTTCTTGAAAAGTGTTAGTTTTATTACATTCTACCAGTCAATAATAGATTCCGTCTATGTATGATTCTTGATTAAACCTCATGAGTATTTTTTCTACTATTTAACAGGATATTTATTCAGTTATTACACAAAATTATGTAACCAAATGAATTGATACAAACATAAAAATACATAGAGTATCGAGTAATAAGAATGACGAAACGGTTAACATATAATATACTGACGGCCTTTAGTAAGTCAATCAAAATCAAGATATCTCATGGGTTTTTGCAGGAAATTGAAAGTGGAGTGCAAGATAACTTGTATGCTAAAATGAACTAAGTAAAAAATGGTCATATTCAGTTATTAAGATGCTTGAAGTTAGTGAAAACACCTATTAATTAACCAGAAAGTGAATATGATACGTTGTTCAAGTTAAATTATCAGGAATATTTGCTCCCTCCATGAATTGTATGTTCGAGTATTTGGTGTGATTCAATGCACAGTAAAAGATGTTTGTATAGCTACATAATATTCTTCTATTCTAAATTTTAACTTTCTTAAGTTTATCAGCAAAAGTGTGGCAAATCTTCGTTGCATGATAGCTGATATCAGTTGGTGACGAAAATCCTATAAGGTTATAGCCCTAAATCACAACGCTGGCGAGACCAATATGTAAACTTAGCCTTTTTCTTTCACTACAACCAATAATTTAACAATCGAAGGTTAATTAGTGATATTTAAACAAATATTCCGCTGTAATTTTATTGCTTTTGATAGTTACTTGTTTTATAACTAAACACTGTCTCCTGATTGACTAATAAATGGTTCAAAGTTTTCGGTGCAATATGCCCTTACAGGTCGAGCCACAACATACAAATGTCCCAGAGGTGGTTTTTAGTCAATCAGGGCGTAGGTAATGAGAATACTCAATATACAGCATAGTAACTCAAAAATGGGTAGTTGGCGTTGGGACTAAGATATAGGGTCAGAAGTCGATTAAAAGAATACTTTGTACAAATATGGATAAATATTTACTCAATCATTTCTTCAATTTGGAAAACCGAGTACCTTCGGGAATTCATAGGATATGGTCTCTATTCTTTAGTCTTCTCATATTTATCAGTATTTAGTTTCTTAATCTTGTTAGGGTTTACCCAACTCTTATTAAAGTACAAGTCATCCGTCATTATATTTCGAATTTTGCGCAATAATCCACTAGGCGTTATCATCAACATGACTGGTTCGTTGGCATGGTGTAGTTTCGACACACGAAGTGATAACAAACAAGGTTGCTTGTTTCCCAGTATTCTACATCCAAGATACCGGAATATCAGAAGACAATCCTCGATATATGATTGGTAAGATTTACCCATAAACATGAATATATAACTCACAAAGAATTGGTCAAACAATTTATGTTCATTGGTTTCATAATAGAAATGTAATATTCAAACCACATGACAGTATAACTGCAACTTAAGCATACACCTTAGCAGACGAATTGAAACGTTAACATTTAATTGAACTACTATCAATCAGACAAAGTTTGTCTTATTTACATTCATTAAATATACTGCCATATTGGTTCACTATATATACATATATTGGAATATTTCAAATAAGATTCTCAGTACTTGTAGAACCAAATTGTAACAGTAAGTAATCGAATTAGTACATAATTAATTCGCAACATTCATCACTTTTTAATTCACTGTAATATCACCATGACAATAATGAGTAGTATGAAGCAGTACGTAATTGAATGAAATTACTGATTTCTAATTAGGCATTAAATGATCAAAATCTACCATACTGTTCGTGATTATTCACTGAAAATTTTTAAAGGAAAGTATATTATACGGGTATTTATGTGCTTAAATATAGATTCACTCAAAGTTTTAGCAAATTTTTTATTGTATCTATCAGTAGAATGTTATGACACAAAAATGTCTTTATGATAATATTTTACTGGATAGAATTTTCTGAGAACGGCAATTTGCCATAAGGTAAATTGCTTATATATGATCACAACTAAAATGACACAAATACTAAGATTTTCACTCAAACATGGCTTTTGAAAGCAGAGGATACTTATAAGTTACTGAAACCTAACCATAAGTATATTTAAAATACTAATCACGAATCATAAAACAAAGGAGTGTGCAACGCTGAACTTAGTTAGATGTAGGGTATTATGGAGACAAGTTAATAAAGCTACGAATCTTTATCGACTGAGAAACGTGCAACATATATTGAACACCAAGTTACTTTAACACTCAATGCTATTTGGAACAGCAGATTAGGAGCAAAGTATGGTCAGCAAAGTCAAGGTGTGACTATTGGTCTGTAGATTTAGTGGCTCATAGTCCAAAAAACTGCTCTGGAAATTTTATTGCCTATTAAGCCAAGGTTTGAAAATATATTTATCTTAACTTCATAGCCATTAATCTCAGATTATATTATTACTTCCATATTAATTCCCAAGTAGGCAAGTTATAGTCAAGTTTTTAATTTTAGATAGTTCTTGTTACGCAATTATTTTCTATCGCATTGATCACAATTTCAGCAATAATATTTTATCAGTTTAATTACTCACAGTCGCTGGTTTCGACTATGTAACATCACTTTCTATGATGCTATATATCATACACTCCAGATGAATTAAGATCAACAGTTTTTCAGTCCATAATGAAGTTACTACTTTTGTTTATAGTAACACAAACCAGTTTACATTACCATTATTATCACGTTAGAAAAAAAAACAATATATTGGTGACTTTAATTTTTATTATGGAAATTTGTTGAACCAAACAACAATCAACAGTTGGTTATATCTATCAAACGAATGAAATAGTGGAAATTTTTATTTATCATGGTTGTTTAATGTTTGTGGAAATTACCTTTTACACATTTTCTTTATTCCTTAAAATTATCCACGCAAACCAATGACAAGAGAAAGACAATGGTAGTCTCAAGGGAATAAAGCAGAATAGATGAATGAGTAGGCACACGTCTTTAGATATACAAAACATTTTTTTCCAAACAAAACAAAACACTGTGTGTGATATGAACAACCAGTTATTTTATGTGGATTATTAGAAAAAGTAATACAACGTTCATATAAACAAAATGACATTGTAAAACATTATAATAACAACCACCGGCTGTACACAATTTTAAGCTTATCAAGAGGGCAAACAACAGTGAGATATTTTTGTATAATAGTACAAAATAATACCAATGAAATCACTTCTAGGATGTAATTAAGAACAACGTGTTTGAGTAATAATTGTATTACCTCTTCGTATGGTTTGAGTTTGACAGTTTTGTTGACCTAAGAAAAGCAGTAAAGAATATGGCTATTATTTATCACGATTAAAGAGGTTTCCTGTTAAAATTTAGAAGAATAATAATCAATGCACATACTATTGCCGTTAAAAAGATGACTTTTTCGGCCATAAAACTATGACATCTTGACTAAATTTTAAACAAAGTGGTTTCCGAATATAGCATAGTTATATTTTGTTGTTTAGCTGTGAGATGCGACTGCCAGAACTAAACATAATAAGGCTTCAAACGTTCAATCACCAATACTTTGTAAGTAGTTTCTGTTTGCTAGGCTTTTGAACCGTTGCGTGATAAAACTTACAACACCGTCACATTATCTGTAAATATTCATTAACGTAGAATCTAGTACGGATGTGTATTTACTCATATGGGAATACCGTAAATTAGGATAGGGAGAGAGCAAAGAGGACTTAAATTTAATTGTCATGGAAATCTAAACACGAAAAATATAGATCAGTAAAATACAAATGAGAAGGAAAGTTGGAAAGTTACGAATGGTACATAACTCAAGATTTGGAGGAAAATGGAGAGCAAATGTAACTGTTAAACTCCAAATGATTTATTACTATTCCATCCAAAGCCCCCGTTCAACTACTGATTAGAAATACTGCACGAGTTCCAATCAGGAAATCTACACCAATCGACCTGACTCGGATCAGTAGTTAATAAACTTATGATGCGATGCCATATTTTAATGTGTCTGCTCCGAGCCTTTTACCAACCCATTCAGCATCGCATGTCAAAATAGGCATTTGTTATTCATGCGTAACACGTATTACAACCATCTTCAATAGATGGAAGTTTATAACTTTATTACTCAAACTGCCGTCTTTGTCTAAAATAACACGCTTAACCTCAGCATTACCGGCTTCTTTAGATCAATATAAGACATACATTCAAATACCACAATGATTAAATTCTTAAAGCCTACATATGTTTTTTACATTCATGGATCATGTTTCAGACGACTTACCTTGATGTCTAATAAACCCATGAGATTCATCTGATGAATGGAACATGCTGCCGAATGGTGAAAAGAAGCCATCGTCATCACCATCATCATCGTCAAATAAACCACGGAAATTGAAGAACGAACCATGATCATCAGTATGTCTGTGCTGACGAAACATATCAAAGTTTCGGAAGAAACTATTAAAATCGAAATCTGGAGCACCACTTCCACCAGGCTGTTGTGTATAATAACTATGTCCAACACTATCATACTGTTTACGTTTTTCATCATCAGAGAGCACATCATAAGCTTGGTAAGATGAATAAAGCACGATATCGAGTAATACAAAGAGATCAGAAGAAATCCAATAATTTTACTACAGAACCTCAAAACATAGTTTCCTTAAACTGTATGAAAAACAATAGATTGACTCGGAACAATAAAATAAAGTTTTTATTATTGCAGTACGCTAATGGTGGTATGAATAGTAAGTACTGCATTAGATACGTATCAGTATTAACTCAGTAAACATGTAGATGTTTGTTAGTGCGTAAATGTATCTCAGGAATCAGTCAGCTACAACGTAGGACCAGGCACATATACGCATCGATCCATGTTGCCATAACTCATTAGCACAAGATGAAAACCGAATTCATGGAAGTACTTACTTCAATGGTAGTAATACATAAAAAATAAGATTGCATATAATAATATGGGAAAGAATTAGTTCGTAGAAAGAAAGGTAAAAAAGCGATTTTAACCTCACGGTTTATGGGAAGACAAAGTGTATAGACCTATGCCATTGTAACTGATTCAAAGCCATGTCACCTAGAGTCTCCAACCATCGGTTACGACAGTTGCGCGGGCCCCAACTCAGTAGACTGCATCTACCAACATAGCTCACATCAGTAGTTAGTGACTTCATGGACTGATGCCATGTTTTGGTTTGGCCGCCTCTTTTTTTCACAACCTCATCAACTGATCTGTCATCACTCCCTGATACCATTCGTCTAATTTCACTATTACTTATCCGGTGATCCCGGCAGATGCGAGCAATGTTTCTAAGGCATCTGTGGCCAAATACTAGTGGCTTACGAGTATCTTCAACTCTTAATGGCCACGTTCCGCAGTCGTAAAGTAGAACAAAACGAACTGCCACACAGCATACTCGTCCCTTAATTGATAGACAGATATCTCGCCTTCGCCATAGGTGACGTAAGTTGGCAAAAGCCAAGCGAGCTTTCTGAATCAGTGAAGAGATTTCGTCAGGCACCAACCCATCAGGGCTGACCAGACTTTCAGTATGAGTGAAGTTGTCGACGCGCCATCGACTGGTAGTGTTCAAGTAAAGAACCTTCACAAGGTTTATGTACTTCTAAGGTACGCCTTTCAACGAGACTGCCACACAACCTCTTGGTCTACAGAGTCAAGAAAAACTATCATTGTCGGACGCCGATAAGCAAACCTGTGTTCTAAGATCTGAATAATGGCGAATATGTGGTTAATCCAGCCATGACCAGGTCTGAAGCTAGCACGATTTCTTCGCGTTTGCAGTTCACGAGTTTTTGTTGGACGTCTGATAATTATCAAAGTTAGTATTTTAGAGGCTGTTTTGGACAAAATAATCCCACTATGGTTATCACAGGATGATTTTGGCCCACTTCTTATGCATTGGGACAATAAGTGATTGTGACCAGTCAGATAGGATTACGTCCAACCCCCAGATTTGAGCTAAAATATTGGTCAATCTAATCGCTGAAATTGGACAACCATCCTTAAAGACCTCTGGAGTCAATCCATCTGAACCAGCTTCCCTTCCTCATTCCAGATTAGCTGTAGCCTTTGGAACTTCAGCTAAAGTCGGGAGACTTACTTCAATGTTCCATTCAGGCTGTCTGGGAATGGTGGGTAGTTGTATAGTAGCTGAAGGCCAGTTGAACTGCACCTTAAAGTGTTCCGCTCGTCGTTCTAAACGTCTGGGCTGAGAGCAGATAAGAGTGTCGTCTTTCTCCGAGATCGTCTCACACTTGACTTCTTAATTCCGGTTTCTTTTATTATTTTGAAGAGCTGTCTAGTTTTACCTATAACTGCTGCCTTTTCCATCTCTTTCGCTTTCGTTAGCCTCCATTGCGCACTGACTTTTAGTTAACCAAGATCTGGTTTCTTTTCGTTCTTCATTGTGTTCGGAGCCTGATGGGATGAGTTTACGAGAGTCTATCAGTGTAATACATGTTACAGAAATCCACTAGCTCTTCTTAACCATTTGGGTTCAAATCACTAACAGATGTCATTGCTATTTTCACAACTGTTCGTATATCTTTCTAAGCAACATCTGGGTCAGCCTCGTTTTCACAACTACCTAGGTGTCACCTCAGGTGTTCCTTAAATCTACTTTTGGTTTTCTCGTCACTGAGTTCAACTCTAATGCGTTTTCTTAATCTGGCTTTTCTGAGCCCAGGTAGACGCAAGCAAATTCGTGCTCGCATTACAGCATGACCAGAGTCTAAACAAGTACTCCAGAATGAGAGATAGTCTTCTATTGAGCCTCTGTAATGATGACTGTTGGCAATATGGTCTATTTCAGTCCATTGTTAGTTTGGTGAAGGGGGTCGCCATGTTAGACGATGCCTCTCCTCATGCTTAAAATTGGTGCTTGTTAAAAATAAACGATCGTCTGGGCACAGTTGCAGTGGACAGTCACCATTATTTGTTCGCTGAGCCAGAATACAAAACTACCCACCTAAATGCCTTTCCATCTGGTTTAATCTACCTACTCGGGCATTAAAGTCACCTACTACGAGTACTATGTCTGTGTGTTTAGATTTTGAGGAACTTCAAGAAGCTCTCTGTAAAATTCATCCTTCACTTCGTCCGGGTTACAGTCAGTGAGAGCGTAAGCAGAAATGAAGAAAACGCAACGCCACGTGCCCCTATCCCTCCGAGTTCTTACGGAGCCGTTTAGCCGAACAGCGTATAGGCGACTATTAACGCCAATCTATTCTAACAGTGCCTCTTCTGCCTTCATACATAGTGCTATGCCTACACCCGTCAGTCCATGAGAACTAGCCATCAGATCGCCAGATAAACGGAGGGTGAATCTGGTAGGCTCTCTGTTTTGGCGAGGTGAGGTCAAGTCAATGACCACATTAGCATCCCGTATACGTATTTTGGAGACACACAATACATCAATCGTACGAGATTCTAGGTTCTTAGACAAGGAGGCCTGCTGGCCGGTTTGACACAGGGTACGTACATTGAAGGCCCCAATGTGTAGTTTGGAGCCAGGTTTCTGTAGACTTGAGATAGTACTTTGCGCACTAGAATCGTTGGCCATAGTGACACTTGAGGAGGAATTTTAGAGTTCAAAGTCGAGGTAGAGTCGGTTCTTTATTTTGGCATGGTGAGGTCAAATAGATGACGCTACTCGGAGACGCAGCACACATTGATGGCGCGGGATTCCAAAGTCCTAGCTAAGGAAGCCTGTTGTCCTATTTGGCACAGTGTTCGGACGTTAAAAGCTCCTACGTGTAGTTTAGAGCGTGGTTTCAAAAGACCAGGAATAGCGTTCCGCGTACTCGAATCGTTTGCCCTAGCGGTGCGGGATGATAAAGAGATGTGAGAAGGGTTAGTCATGGAGATAAGAGAGGTATTAAGAGGTGTAGGAAGGATTTGAATGTGACCAACTTGTTCTCGTGTGCTGTTACGGGTATGAGGGCTAATATCACTTCCCGGATGCCCACACCGTGGAAGGGTATTTCTTGAGGAACCTGAAAAGGAAATTGAATTAGTGTTGGTCTTAACGATCTGGGAGTGTGACTGCAGTGCCCAAGGGACAACTGCTTGAGGCCGGTCGCGCACGGCCTTTTCGTGGAAGGTTTTTAACGTGTTAGCTCCGTTCTTCAAAGGGCCTTACCGCCGGAGACGGAAATCCGTGAGGTAAGGTGAGGTGTGACATTTTTAGGGTCGACCTTTTCTAACCCCACCCCTCCTTGTGGGAAGGCAGCATCGCTGTCATGCTGGTTGTCCGAGGGAAACACCTTACTGCTGTCACACCCCTCTACAGCCAGCAGTACGACTTCGCCCTCAGACCTTGAGTTGCTGCTTCTAGTCTTACCGTTCTCCAATCGACCTGCCTGGCATGGTAGAACCTACAGGAACATATGTTCCAGCCAATATAGCTCGGTTGGGTCATCACGATAGGCAAGCCCGACCACCGCGTCAAGGTAGCAGCTTCGGTCGGGAATAATAGGAACCGAAGAGGAAGATTGATTATGAATACAGTGGTCTTGAGTGCTGTCAGAGGTATGAGGGAGGTTTTTATTTCCCGGTTGCACACACCGCGGAAGGGTTCTTTTGGAGGTACCTGGGGAGGAGATTGGGTTAGGGTTGGTCTTAGTGACCTGAGAGCTTGCCCGCAGTGTCCAAGGGACAACTGTACGAGGCAGGTCACACAACACCCTTTTGTGAGTAATTTTCGTGTTAGCTCCACACTTGTTGAGACCTTACCGCCGGAGACGGGAATCCATGGGATAAATTGAGGTGTGTATTTTTGGGGTCCACCTTTTTCTAACCCCCAGCCTCCCCTTGTGGGAAGGCAGCATAGCTGTTATGCTGGTTGGCTGAGGGAAACACCGTACTGCCGTCACACCTCTGTACAGTCAGCAGTATTTTACCCTGGGACCTTGAGTTTTCTGCTTTTAATCTTACCGTTCTTCGACCAATCTGCCTGGCATGATAGGACCTTGAGAAATGAATGTTCGAGCCAGTATAGCCCGATTGGTACGGGCTAAACTCCCCCACTAAACCATGGTGGGGAGTTCCATGGACTCTTTGGTTTAGTCCAAGGGATGAGGGGTGCAGTAACGTTCAAGTACAAAGTTCTAAAAATATCCCAAGTTGTTTCAATTAGGGACTCTAGCTCTATTGTCCAATCTACTGAAAATTCAGAGTGTTTAACACCCTTAACTTGGAGATGTAGGGTTTCACGAGCATAAAGCAAAACTGCCCTCACTGACGCGCTATAAACCTGATCTTTTACAGCCAGACTAACATCACCGACGCGCCAAAGATGGCTCAGATTATCATAGACCACTACTGTCCTGACTGTGACCACCGATCTCTCCAAAGAGACTGGTGTTCAAAAGGTATTCAGAATGTCAGTATCAGAGGTCTTCAATAAGAATAGGGTTGTAATTCAGACCAGAAATCTGAACATACTGTTTGCAATGATATGATGAATTAGATTTTTTTATTTGAACACATTGGTACAAGGGGGCATCAAATACATATGCGCCATACAATGACAATGAAGTCAGTAGCAGTCAAAATTAGACCCAACGGGTTTCATACTGAGCATCATTTTCCAACAGTGAGATTAGGAGGAATAAGCAATGATAGGTTTATAACCTGGTGGAATGGGATAAAGGATAGCTGTTCGCCTTCTCGTGGCGGGGGTGTTGTTTACGGAAATGAGAAGACGAAAAGCGAATGTCCGGCGCTTTAACCGGATTCCAAGTCAATGGTGCACATGGGCTCCAGTATCTTGTGGAACAAATGGCGTATGAACCAATCGTTGGTCACCGGCTTCCATGGGACTGCATCTCCTTACGGTGCCCCACTGCCTTGTGGACCAGACCTTCAAGTCGAAGGCTCGGGGTGTGGCCCCCTAAGAAAACCACCTGCTTCGGTTTGGGCACCCGGGCAGTATCACAGCCCTCACACATATCGAATGAGGTTTGTGTGGCGCATATGTATTTGGTGCCTCCTTGTACCAATATCTATGTGTTAAAATAAAATAAAATCAATCGTCTATTATGTTTCCATGACAGTCTGAGATGCTATCAGACACAATTAAGCTAAAACTATGTGATACTACTATAGGAAAAGAATTGCCTTGATAATATGAACTTATACTTCCTATTCCTTCATAAAATTATGTGTTATTTCTCGACAATCCAGTGTATCAAAGTTTACTTGAGTAATCACTAAATCAAAAATGGACCTACTTCTACTTAACATTGTCTATTGATAATCAAAGCCCGGTTAGACGTAAACATACAGCGATGCCATGGTAAACAAACGAAATGAATTTGTGTTACGAGTGAACAACTTGGTACGTTTTTTTCGAAAAGGTCATGTACCAATGAAAATAAACTTACAGCGATGAAATGATCTTACTTACCTTCAGCAATTTTCACAAACTTTTTCTGTGCGTCTTCATCCTTATTTTTATCTGGATGATATTTTAACGCTAGTTTCCGGAAGGCTTTTTTAACATCACTATTTGAGGCTGATTTACTTATCCCGAGAATGTCATAATAATCTTGTTCAGCATTATTTTTGCCAAGTAAAAATTCGAGTGAAAAAATAATGAATAAAACGAAATATCTGAATAAATCCTGCATGATCTGGACCTATAGTAAAATAGATGAAGGTAAGGAATTTAGTTCAGTGAATATCATACTGGCAAATAAAAGTTTTCAACTCACTATTAGATTGTTAAGTACGAGCATACGACTTGAGTTTCTAGCCTTTTGAAATCAAGTCGAGTGACTATGAAATAATACTTAGATTTAAAACATAATCTCTATACTTATGCCTTCCCAACTAGGGATAAAGAGTGGTTGTGATTTAGCGTTTTTGGGGTCCGAAAACTGTTGGATCACAGGACAATCCGTCCCTACACACTTCAGTAAGGACACCCAACTAACATAATGAGTCTACCAATAATATGCGGACAATAGCTAAATTTGACAGTGTAAATGATCAACCAGTTTAAACGGAAATTATGGCAAAAAAACATCTGATACTAAAATTTTCTACTCGAAATCAATGAAATTATCACAACAATACTAAGATGTGTTCCATGACGTCAAATAAAAAGATACCCAGACCATTTACAGATGCTTGAAACTAAAACATGACTGCCGGTGAAATCAATTTAACTTTCAAAACTATCATATGACTTTATAAGTTTAATCAATCCTAACAGTATTAAATTATTCTAGGTAATTATCCGAAAAACTTAATTGTTGGTAACAGTTTATCTTCTGGGTCTACGAAAACACTTCATTAGAGATATAACTTTTATTTTCAACGTATTTCGAAAATAGCATGATTTTATGAGATATCAAAAAAGAATGCTCCAGATAATATAGCTGGGTTTTCGATGAAGTTCTGCAATTGTGACAGAAAACGCCTTTAGGGCTAATTGAAATAGATGACATTTATTGGGAACACTTAATGTTAGGTATATAGCAGTGGTCAAAATTAAACCCAGCTATCGAGCTACGTGGGACTCATAATGAACGATGTAGCGACTGGCTGTAGAAACAAACATGAAAACCAATAAACGCAATCCACATAGGACGATTATTGGTATCTTAAGTAAGTTTCTTCTTCGCCATTGTAAAACTGGTCGTTTTCTACAGTCCTGAAGATCAGTAGAGAAAATCCTGTCACACCATTTATAGCAATGAAAACTGTTTAAGACAGATCCCACGAATTGATTTAAAAACCTGAATATTGAATCGAGAAACGTCATCCCGACCAAGCGATAAGTACTAACGCGATTACTGCTTACAGCTGTTCCTTATAACAATTGAGAGACATTTTACTCAATCCATCTTTGGTATTCGCATACATACTCGAAAGCCAATTTGGAAGTAGAGACCTAATGAATGAACTTTCGGCCTATATATTTCAGAACTTGTTTTAACAACAACACTTTCAATCTTCTTGCATTTATACAGTGAATGAAAACAACACTGAGTAAGCTTAAATCAATAGATTTTTACTGTAGCAGCCAAAATTCACTAAGATGTTTATTTGAAATAGTAAATTGCTCTGTAGATTGTCATCTATAATGACCAGATAGAGAAATAAAGACTCCTAGAAATAAACAAACTTTGACAAATAGTAGATAAATAATTTAATTGCACGGTTTAAAGGAGGAATAGTGGTACTCCTTAGGAGATACAATATTGTTACTTTATGAACCAGTAAAACAGCTATCAAATCTTCATGCAATAACGTTGATTTTGATGGTTTTGAATAAAATCGAAGTTATTGTACCGTATGAAGAGATCATTGGAGCTTTCGGTGAGACTATAATTTATGAACGACATCTGAGCAATTCGGAAAGAACCTGAGAAAACCCAACCGTTCACTAGAATCAGAAGAGGGCTATAAAGTATTGTAAAAAATGTGATGTACAGTTTTGTGTTAGGGTTAGCAATTAGGGTTCTTATCACGAATTGCAGACATAACATCAGCTATGTTATTCAACCATACAGATGAGTGAATTTCACTCAAAATCCTGGACCTGATGTTTAAAGCCTTATTGATTCGCCCGTAAATCATATTCTTATCGGCACGGATACTTAATAAAAAGACGCCAGACGACATACACATACATGTATCAGAGACCTTCAGGGTTTAAAACTTCACGTAAACGTGTGTTATGAATGACCCATGTTGTTTTAAACACTTAAAAGTTGACGGTAATACAATTCTCTGAGTATTTATTCAGATATAGAAGCTTTGTTTCAAGACGTATGTTAGTGAGGAAGATAACCTACTATATGCTATAAAGTGAACGGAACTAGCGATACCTATTTCGACACTTTATAAAATTAATTTCATTCAGCAAATTTATTTTTCAAAGAACTTCTCTGAGACCTAAAGTATAACGTTGTGTGGCTCCACTGGCTGAATATTATCGTCTTTTTATGGGAGACAGAAGTTTCTGGATTAGAATGAGGATGATGTTGAACCCAAGATGTCCAGTGATTATCCGGACACAGCCGACAAACTGGCGCCCAATACATATCACTTTTTTAATTTGGTTCGAGAACATATACTTTAACGGGGAAATGGTCTGGTAAACACAATGGACTATCGCAAATCAGTGTACGCGAACCAACTAAACATCTACAAGCAAATGGCATGTCTAAGTAAAAAAAATCTTTCGCGGACATTTTTACCAACTACCCGTACCGATAAGAATATGATTTACGGGCGAATCAATAAGGCTTTAAACATCAGGTCCAGGATTTTGAGTGAAATTCACTCATCTGTATGGTTGAATAACATAGCTGATGTTATGTCTGCAATTCGTGATAAGAACTCTAATTGCTAACCCTAACACAAAACTGTACATCACATTTTTTACAATACTTTATAGCCCTCTTCTGATTCTAGTGAACGGTTGGGTTTTCTCAGGTTCTTTCCGAACTGCTCAGAGATCGTTCATGTGGAGCTAAAGGTCGGAAAACTGTAACAACAGTCATAAGTGCAGTACAGATATTTTTCTACGTTAGATACTCTAGATCCGTAGTCCGAAAATCGTCAGAATAGCCTGTAGTGGTAGAGAACAAGTCAACTCCCGGATAAAGATAAAATTAGGGAAAGAAACTGCAGGTCGATTGAATTTTTACAGTAACCATCAAATAGTTGTACAAAGCAATCCCAAACCTGGAACCTTCAGGCCAAAATGGAAGGAGGTAGACCTGCGGATTGTCAGTGTGTTAATCTATGTGTTCAGTCTGTTCAACCGAATTGAACGGTAGTGGCGTAACAGCTTACATCGACGTCATACCTCGCAGCTAATGCTTAACCTGGTTTTTTCGTGACGTGATAATCAGGAGACTTGTCTCCTTTGGTGACTGGCCGTGGCAGCGACATTCGCCGGTGAAAACAGATTGTAACGGTACATAGGAGAACCATGAGACAGTCCATGGCTTGCCGTTGATTAATCCGTGTTAGTTGTCCTTGGCTTCACCAAGACAGGATAAACTGCCTGTCATTCATTTTACCTAGATGCTGAATTCTTTGGAGTGGACACAGTATTATGTCTCTGACCCTTAATATCGACAATAATTAAGTAGACTTCAATGATTATTATACGAATAAACAACAACCAGAGATGGAAATACAGCACAGAGTTCGTTAGAGAATCCGAGTCAGTGTTTTAAGCCATAGAAGTAGAAATAAGTTTATGTAACAGTGAAGATGATGCTTCATTTATCTATCCGGTAACACTTGACGTAAACATAGAAGCGACCAACGATTTAGAAAAGTCGTCTCGAAAATATTTAGCAATCAGTGCAACGTTTTAGAAATCGACCATATTTGCATCAACAAAACGTTCAGGAGGACTATAGAGGACGTGAGAACCAAGAGAGGAGCTGATATAGCATCAGATCATCACTTGCTGGTCGCCAAGATGAAATTGAAACTCAAGAAGCACTGGACAACGGGGCGGACAATATCACAAAAGTTCAATACGGCCTTTCTTCAGGATACTGAAAAACTCAACAAATTCAAGATAGTCCTCAGCAACAGGTTCCAGGCCTTTCATGATCTACTCAATGGAGAAGGAACTACTGTGGAGAGCAACTGGAAGGGGATCAAAGAGGCAATCACTTCAACATGTCATGAGGTCCTGGGTCACAAGAAGCACCATCACAAGGAATGGATCACTGTTGATACACTGGATAAGATTCAAGAAAGGAAGAACAAGAAGGCAGCAATCAATACCAGTCGAACAAGAGCAGAAAAAGCCAAGGCACAAGCTGAATACACAAAAGTAAACAAACAAGTGAAGAGGAGCATCAGAACCGACAAACGTAAATATGTGGAAGATTTAGCAACGACGGCGGAAAAGGCTGCAAGAGAAGGAAACATGAGACAACTGTATGACACGACAAAGAAACTCTCTGGAAATCGCCGCAAACCAGAACGACCAGTGAAAAGCAAGGAAGGCAAGGTAATCACCAACATTGAAGAGCAACAAAACAGGTGGGTAGAACACTTCAAAGAACTCTTGAATCGACCAGCCCCACTGAACCCACCCAACATCGAAGCAGCACCCACGGACCTCCCAATCAATGTTGGCCCACCAACAATTGAAGAAATCAGCATGGCCATCAGACAAATCAAGAGTGGCAAAGCAGCAGGACCGGACAACATCCCAGCAGAGGCACTAAAAGCAGACGTAGCGGCAACTGCAAGGATACTCCACATTCTCTTCAATAAGATTTGGGATGAGGAACAAGTACCAAAGACTGGAAAGAAGGACTTCTGATCAAAATACCGAAGAAAGGCGATCTCAGCAAGTGTGATAACTACAGGGGCATCACTCTTCTCTCAATACCGGGAAAAGTCTTCAACAGGGTATTGTTAAACAGGATGAAGGACTGCGTAGACGCCCAACTTCGTGACCAACAGGCAGGATTCCGTAAGGATAGATCGTGTACAGACCAAATCGCAACTCTACGGATCATTGTGGAACAATCAATTGAATGGAATTCATCACTCTACATCAACTTCATTGACTACGAAAAGGCATTTGATAGCGTGGACAGAACAACACTATGGAAACTTCTTCGACACTACGGCGTGC